GTGTTTTAAATACGTGGTCTGGCTCTTTCACCCAGACTGGAGTGCAGTGGCACGATCACAGCTTACAGCAGTCTTGCACTCCTGGGCTCAAGCCATCCTTCCACTTCAGCCTCCCAAGTAGCTGGGACTTTAGGCTGTGCCACCACACACCCAGATAATTTTTTCTTATTTTTTGTAGAAATGGGGTCTCACTGTGCTGTCCAGACTGGTCATAGACTCTTGCCTCGAGTAGTCTTCCTGCCTCGCCCTCCCAAATCACTGGGATTGTAGGTGTGCACTACCACACCTGGCCTTTAAGGGAAGATATGTGGGAAGAGTCTGTGCTAAGCATAGTGATGGAGCATTTTTCCTTATTAATTCTTCAGACACAGAGTAAGGAAAGAAGAAATTGCACCATGAGCACAATTACGGGGCTTTGGTAAAGGCATATAAGTCATTTCAAAAGTTCAATTATTATTTTCTCTTATTTTATATTTATGTATTTTATTTTTTAAGATAGAGTCTCACTCTGTCACCTGGGCTGGAGTGCAGTGGTGCAATCTCCACTCACTACAAACTTGGCCTGCCAGGTTCGGGCAATTCTTGTGTCTCAGCCTCCCGAGTAGCTGGAATTACAGGTGCACACCACCACACCTAGCTAATGTTTGTATTTTTAGTAGAAACAGGGTTTCGCCATGTTGGTCAGGCTGGTCTCGAACTCCCAACCTCAAGTGATCCATTCACCTTGGCCTCCTGCCTCCCTTGTTGTGAGGGTAAATCATCTGGGGAGTTTCTAGGCACTCAGTACATGTATAAATTTCCTAAAGAAGTACATCTTAAGAGAACAATCAACTTGAAAATATATTTAAAAGAACATAAATTAGTCAGTATTATTGAGGCAATGAATAAATACGCTTACCCATACACTGTTGGTGAGAAATTTCTAGAGTGCTATTTGACAATGAACATAAAAATATTTTAAAAAAGAAATACTTCTTATCACTTTTATGTACATTTTTACACAGTGCTCTACTTGACATGTTTCCTTGACCATATTCATGGAGATCTTTCCATCTCAGTGTATTTGAAGTTTCCAGATGCTCTCTTTCCCTCTCTCTGGACTCATGTGCAGAGCAGGTGCCTATTCCATAGTGATGGGCATTTCCATTAGAAATAAAGTTCCATTCCACTTGCGCCACCTCATCTCCCTGCCCTGGCCCTGAGACCTGTGGCTGGGTTTCTCTAGGAGAGATTCTGAAGAGGAAAACCTGCAGGAGCACTGGCATCCCCTTTTTGTGACTGATACTGTCAAGTGGTCACTCGTAGGTTACTTTCCCGACACAATCTCTAAGGACCCATTTCTCCTTATCTTCCATAAGATGACTTCCAAACTTGTTAACTTCTGCCACCCCGAAGGATGACAAAGGAATAAATGACCTGCTTTGTTCTCCATTTCTCTGGTTACTAGTGAGGCTGAGCATGTGGACACACATGGCTTGGTGTTCTCTATTTTTCTGGTTACTAGTGAGGCTGAGCGTGTGGACAAATGTGGCTTGGTGTTCTCCATTTCCCTGGTTATTAATGAGGGCTGAGCGTGTGGACACACGTGGCTTGGTGTTCTCCATTTCTCTGGTTACTAGTGAGGGCTGAGCGTGTGGACACACGTGGCTTGGTGTTCTCCATTTCCCTGGTTACTAGTGAGGCTGAGCATGTGGATGCATGTGGCTTGGCACTCACATCTCTTTGTCAGGTGCCAGTTCATATTCTTTGTTCATTTTCCCTTTACATTGTTTCTTAATGAATTTTAATAATTCCTTATGTCTTATTTCTTGGTCATGTAGAAATTAAACTTTTACAAATGAATAATTTGTTTTTCATGTTGTGTCTTCTTAAAGAATGTCCTAATTTCTTTGAAAAGTTCTGATAGTATTTTGATTGGAATTACAATGAATTTTTAGGTCAGTTTGGTGGGAATTAATATCTAAATTGAATTTTCTTATCAAGGAATACTTTCCTTTGTGTTTCAAGGTGTTTTCTTTTTCTTAACATTTTATAATGAAAAATTTCAAACATACAGAGCAGTTGAAGGAATTTTATAATGGGCACTCATATACTCGCCAGCCAGATGCTAGCATTTACATTTTACTGTGCTAGCTTTATCACTTATCGTTCCATTTATCCTCCAGCTGTTCATCAGTCCATCTTATGTTTTGTTCATTTCACTGAGCTGCAGATACTTGTACATTTACGCTGAAATGCTTCAGCATGCATATCATTAATGAGAGTTCAGTATCTGGGTGTGATTCTTGCTGCTGCTGGTTCTTCAGTTAAAATTTGCATACCAATGAAATGCACACGTCTTAAGTATAGCACTAATAAGGCCCAACAAATGCATAAATCTCTGCAGTCCAAACACCCTATTCAGGTACAGGACATCTGTCACATCTGCAGCTTCAGCTGTTCAACTTCCTGGTCACCTCCCTTCTACCTCAGGCACCCATTGTTCTGATTTGTTAAATAATGGACTAGTTTTTCCTGTTATTAAACACCACAGAAATGACACCCTTCAGCATATAGCCACTTAAGCCTGGTGTCCTTTTAGCACAATGCTTTTGAGATTCATCTGTGTTGTACACATATCATAGGTTGCTGCTGTTTATTGCTGAATGATATTTCACTGTATGAACATACTAGCTGGTTTATCCATTCTCCTGTTGTTGAACACCTAAGCAGATTCCAGGCTTGACTAGTATGAATAAAGTTCCTTGTATCGGAATATTCTATGCAAGTTGTTTTGTGGACATGTATTTTCATTTCTGTTAGTGTTACCTAGGTGTGGAATTGCTGGATTATAGGGCATGTGTGTGCTTAATTTTATAAGGCATTCCTGGGCTTTTTCCTAAACTCTTTTTACCTCCACTCACAGTGTAGGATACTTGAGATCCCTCCATGTATTTCCCAACATTGGTGTGGTCAGCCTTTTTAAGTGCGGCTATTCTGGTGTATGTAGTGATTCAAGTGATCTTTTATATCATTCCAGCCTTCTGGAAAAGTAATTTTTACTAGTCATTTTAAATTTTTCAAATAAGTGCATTTAAAGGTAAAAAGTTTCCTCTGATACCATCTCCCCGCTTCCACCATGCATGTATGCTTTTGTTGTTTGCTACTGTTTTCTGATTTTCATTGCACTGTTATTAGTGAATATGGGCTGTTTATATTTTTACTCTCGATAATGTATTGAGATTTTTCTTTTCTTTTTTTTTTTTTTGAGACGGAGTTTCGCTCTTGTTACCCAGGCTGGAGTGCAATGGCGCGATCCCGGCTCACCGCAACCTCCGCCTCCTGGGTTCAGGCAATTCTCCTGCCTCAGCCTCCTGAGTAGCTGGGACTACAGGCATGCACCACCATGCCCAGCTAATTTTTGTATTTTTAGTAGAGATGGGGTTTCACCTTGTTGACCAGGATGGTCTCGATCTCTTGACCTCGTGATCCACCTGCCTTGGCCTCCCAAAGTGTATCCAAAATATCTAGCCGCGCTGCTCTATCATCTATCACACACTGCTTTGTGTAAGAATCTTCAGTGGTTGGATCACAATCTGTTACAAAATAGGACTAGAAGAACCGGATGGTGAGCACCGACTTGCCCACGCCACCACCGCCAACCACAACGAGCCGGTACTTCTCTTGGCCGGAGCTGTCCTGCCAGCCGGCCACAGCCATGGGGACGCCACAGAGCCTAGCCTGATTGCGCCAAGCCGCTGCTGCTGCCCGCCCTAGGCCCGGCTTCGGGGACGTGTGTGGCCGGCGGGCAGCTGGCGAGCGGCTGGGTGGGGGTCATGGGTAGCGGTAGGTGTCGGGAGGGCAGGTCCACATTGTGGCACGGCACCAGGGGCTGGCTGGGTGCCTCCCGAGGCGCAGAGAAGTGGGGTGATGGCACGGGCCAGTGGCGGCAGCGGCCGTGGGGGTGAGCTCCCCTACGGGTCTCCGCAGTGCTCTTAGTCCTCTTTCTAACTGAAGTTTTGTATCCTTTGACCAACACTTCCCCACTTCTGCAGTCCCAGGCTCTGGCAACTACCACTGTGCTTTCTGGCAGAGAGCTTTTCCACATCAGGCCTTTTTTTTTTTAGACTGAGTCTTACTCTGTTGCCAGGCTGGAGTTTAGTGGCACGATCTTGGCTCACTACAACTTCCACCTCCTGGGTTCAAGCAACTCCCCTGCCTCAGCCTCCCAAGTAGCTTGTATTACAGGCATCTGCCACTACACCCAGCAATAGGGTGTATCGCCATATTGGTCAGGGTGGTCTCGAACTGCTGACCTCATGATCTGCCCACTTTGGCCTCCCAAAGTGCTGGGATTACAGTCATGAGCCACTGCGCCCAGCCGAGGACAGTCTCTGACTTTATAGTGCGTGGTAACAGCCCACTGGCCATCATCTTTCTGCGGCCATGAATTTCTTTTCCCCGTTGACTGTGACTGTGTTTCAGTAGCCTGAGTCTTCCCCTACACCTCCATAATGATGTGCTTGTGGTATCTCTCGACCGTAACCAAACGAAGGCAGAAAGAGAGAATCAGTGAGCTTAAAATAAGAATCCACAGGGTCTCTGATTCTTTTACTCGAATGACCAGTTTATCCTATCAGTGACACCTCCTTTGGGCCACGTCCACTGAAAATGCACAACAGTTCACGTTCTTTCATTGTTGGTCAAGAGGTGTGCCCTGTCTGTGTAAGTGGAGAGTTGAACAGCGAACAGTAGTGTCTCCTTGGCTTAGCCCTGCATGCAGCATGACAGCAGGACGTGCTGCCATTGAGTCTTAGCCATGAACTCTGATGCTTGCTAACTCAGGCCTTCCACTCATGGCTCTGGCTTGGGTGCTGATCTGGCCCATCCACATGAGTGGGTGTGTGGGACTAAAGTTTGTGCAAGTTGAGGGAGGTGGCTGTGGATATCCTCGAAGGTTAAGGAATTTTCTACCATAAGACATTGTTTTCCCTTCTATCCCTGTTAAGAGGAGGGCGTGTATGTGGAGAACAAAGCTGGAAAAAAAGGCGGCGTCTCCACAGATGGACTTCCAAGGCTGGGGTTCTATCCAAGCTGACTCAGCAGAGGTGTTGGTATGCTTGGAAATTAATGCTAGGCTGCCTGTCTGATATTCATACGTGGGTTTTGTTTTTCCTGCTCCACTGAAAAGTGACACATTTTATGAGTTTTAGGCTTATACACAGGTCCTGGTTCTAGGGGGAAGGAGGTGGTAGGGTAGGGGGTGCCCCCTTTTTGAAGCCAGAGCACCAGAGCCCTTGGCTGGCCTGCATTGCTGTCCTGGACCCACCCCATGTCCCGCAGGTATGTGCATGTATATTGTGCTTCACTCACACACACACACACACACACACACATGCACACACATACACACACACACACAGCTCAAGGAAAGTGTGGTGTTCTTTTGCATAATTAAAAGTTACATAGGTTAATTATTGGCCTCTGGGAAATCATCTTCCTGGGGCCATAGTCCTCTTTCTTATGGTAACAAGCATCAGTTAATTCCAAGACTTCACCCATTCTCCATCCAGATGCTTGTGACCTGGGACTCCTCATTTCCAAGTCTGACTTCTCTCCCCAGTTCCAGCCCCACATGTTTACCCACATAATGAGCCTCTCCAAGCAGATGATTTGAAGGCACCTCTCACTGAGTGCATCTACATGAATTCAACCAGCTGCCAGCCTAAACTCCCTCCATTGCTATTTTGTGGGAATTTTCATGTCTAGTTCAGAGTTTATCCTAATTACAGGAAAACAGTAAGGTGCCAAATAAGAAGCCAATAATTAAAAATGACTTCAGCAGAAACCAAGCCAGGCCAGCCACGGTGGTTCACTCCTGTAATCCCGGCACTTCAGGAAGACAAGGCAGGCAGATCACTTGAGGTCAAAAGATGGAGACCAGCCTGGCCAACTTGGTGAAACCCCCTCTCTACTGAAAATACAAAAATTAGCCAGTGTGGTGCCATGTGCCTGTAATCCCAGCTACTAGGAAGGCTGATTCGGGAGTATTGCTTGAACTTGGGAGATGGAAGTTTCAGTGAGCTGAGATCACACCATTGCACTCTAGCCTGGGCAACAGTGAGAGTCCATGGAAAAAAATTAAGGAAGAGAGGGAGGAAGGGATGGAGGGAGGGAAAATGGGAGGAAGGAAGGAAGGAAGGAAGGAAGGAAGGAAGGAAGGAAGGAAGGAAGGAAGGATTCTTCCTCCAGTGAGGATGGATGGTAAGGAAGATGTGGCAAAAACTTCCACTTGATTCACCTGAACACGCCCAGCACTAGTGTTGGATGTCATAAAAATTCGAGTCAGCAAACTTCGGAAATAGTGGCTTTTGCCATGGCCACCTCTAAGGCCAGGATGACATAAGGCAGCCAGAGGCAGAGAAGACAATGGCTCCGGGTGGAAGGTAGGAAGTTCTATTTTCTAGAAAATATAACTTTCCAGGAAGGAAGGAAGGAAGAGACAGGGAGGGAGGGATGGATGGTGGGTCTGTTTTCTAGAAAATATAGCTTTCCTAAAATCCCATAGTATAGAACCAGAATAAAAGCTAGAAACTGAATTCATTTTAAGGTTATGTGATACAAGCATTAGGTGACTAAATAGATAAGCATCAGTAAGGTAATTAGGGAATATATACACACATCTAAATGCAGGCTCTAGGCCAGGCGAGGTGGCTCATGCCTGTTATCCTAGCACTTTGGGAGGCCAAGGCAGGCGGATCACCTGAGGTCGGGAGTTCAAGACCAACCTGGCCAACATGGTGAAATCCCGTCTCTACCAAAAATACAAAAATTAACTGAGTGTGGTGGTAGGCACCTATAATCTCTGCTGCTTGGGAGACTGAGGCAGGAGAATTGCTTGAACCCAGGAGGTGGAAGTTGCAGTGAGCCAAGAGTGCACCATTGCACTCCAAACTGGGCAACGAGTGAAACTTCATCTCAAAAAAATATAAATAATAAATAATAAATTAGACCATATGGCAACACAGGATATTTGTATTTCAGCAGTAATGAAAATGTGCGCACTTTGATGTGCACTCATACATGTAATGTTCCTTTAAGTCATTTTTTTTCCACCTGAGCCCATGGATTCCGGGGGCTAGCTCTTATGCCGTATTATGCACAGTGAGAAACTTTTACCGACTGACTTAAGGGTTTTCCAAGGAAACAGCAACCTTCCAAGGGGCAATGTGTTTGCCTTATCTGGGAGGGACCCTCCATCTGAACAGGGTAGGAGAGAATAGCATTTACTTCCCAGGAACTGGCACCCTTAGGGCCGTTGTCTTCTCTGCCTCTGGCCACCTTATGTGATCCTGGCTTTAGAGGTGGCCGTGGCAAAAGCCAGTATTTCCAAGGTTCTGCTGACTAGGATTTTTATAACGTCAAACGTTGGTGTTGGGCGTGTTCAGGTGAAACAAGTGGACGTTTTGTCACAGCTAATATGTTAACAGTATAGTCAGATATTTAGAGTATTTCATTTTGGAAGCAGAGTCATAAATATACAGCATCTATTTCTCAAGGAAATCATTCCGTTAACAAATTTCCGCTGGGCATGGTGGCTCACGCCTGTAATCCCAGCACTTTGAGGGGCCAAGGCAGTTGGATCACTTGAGGTCAGGAGTTCAAGACCAGCCAGGCCAACATGGTGAAACCTCATCTCTACTAAAAATAAAAAATTAGCGGAGCATAATGATGCATTCCTATAATCCCAGTTACTCAGAAGGCTGAGGCAGGACAGTCACTTGAACCTGGGAGGTAGAGGTTGCAGTGAGCCAAGATTGTGCCACTGCACTCCAGCCTGGGCGAGACTCTGTATGTCAGAAAAAAAAAAAAGAAAAATATGTTAAGGACATCACAAGAGTGTGATTGTGGGTGTGAGCCACCACACCTGGCCTTTATCATGTATTTCTGATGTCGCTGTTAGATATTTGTATCATTGTCGTAAGTCTTTTTGTCTCTTCGCTTCCCAGGCTATATAGTTTGGAGATCTCTGATTCATCTGTCTTAAAGTCCGTAGGTTTTTTCTTCTGCTGTATCTAATCTGTTAATACAGTCATGCATCATGTAACAATGGAGATCGGTTGTGAGAAATGCATTAGCAATTTTCTCATTGTAGGGACATCATAGTGTGCACTTACACAAACCCAGGTGGTGTCGCCTACCGCACACCCAGGCTGTATGGTACAGCCTGTTGCTCCTAGGCAACAAACTTGTACAGCATATGACTATACTGCATACTGTAGACAACTGTAACATAATGGTAGTGTTATGTATCTAAACAGCAAAGGTACAGTAAAAATATGGTATAAAAATTAAGAAATTGTACACCTATGTAGGGCACTTACCACAAATGGAGCTTGCAGGACTGAAAGTTGCTCTGGGTGAGTCAGTGAGTGAGTGGGGAGTGCAAGTGAAGGCCTAGGGCATGAACGCACACTGCTGTAGACTGTGTAAACACTGGACATTTGGGCTACAGTGAGTTTATTAAAAATTGAGTTGGCCGGGCATGGTGGCTCAAGCCTGTAATCCCTACACTTTGGGAGGTCAAGGTGGGTGGATCGCTTGAGGTCAGGAGACCAGCCTGGCCAATGTGGTGAAATACTGTCTCTGCTAAAAATACAAAAATTAGCCAGGTGTGGTGGCACCTGCCTGTATTCTCAGCTACTCAGGAGGCCAAGGCAGAAGAATTGCTTGTACCCCGGAGGTGGAGGTTGCAGTGAGCCCAGATCACACCACTGCACTCCCAGCCTGGGTGACAGAGCGAGACTCCATCTCAACAACAACAACAAATTGAGTAATTGCACTACAGTGTTATGACAGCTCTGACGTCACTAGGCGATGGGAATTTTTCAGCTCCATTATAATCTTAGGGGGCCGCCGTTGTGTCTGTGGTCTGTTGTTAACCAAAACCATCGTTACGTGGTGCATGGCTGTGCCATCCAATGACTCTTTTATTGTAGACTCTTATGTTTCAGTTCTAGGCTTCCCATTTAGTTCTTCTTTTACAGTTTCCATCCTTCTTGAAATATCTCACGTCTTCACGACACCTTCTTCTGTTCTGTGTTTCCCACATTTATTACTTTAAAGCCCTGTGATACGGTTTGGCTGTGTCGCCACCGAAATCTCAACTTGAATTGTATTGCACAGAATTTTTCCCACGTGTTGTGGGAGGGACCCAGGGGGAGGTAATTGAGTCTTTCCTGTACTAGTCTCATGATAGTGAATAAGTCTCACAAGATCGGATGGGTTTATCAGGATTTCTGCTTTTGCTTCTTCCTCATTTTCCTCTTGCTGCTGCCTTGTAAGAAGTGCCTTTTGCCTCCCACCATGATTCCGAGGCCTCCCCAGCCATGTGGAACTGTTAAGTTCAATTAAACCTCTTTTTTCTTCCCAGTCTCATGTGTGTCTATCAGCAGTGTGAAAACGGCCTAATGCACCGGGCTCTGCTGATTTTAACATCTGGGTTATCTTTAGGTTTGCTTCTCTTGAACATAGGTTATATTTTCCTGTTTCTTTGCATGTCTGGTAATTTTATTGTATAAAGGACACCATGGTTTGTACTCTAGGTTTTGCACTCAGAGTGAAGAGTGTTGAGTTTTGATACAGCCACACATTAGATGACTGTCAGAGCACCTAATGCTTAGGGAGTTTTCGCCTTGCGAATGGCTGGCTTGCTCTGTTTCCTGGTGAGTCACAGATTGAGCTTCCTCTGCTTCACCCAGGCAGGCAGCCCGTTTATGACAGTCGGCCTCTCTCATAGTAAGATAAATGATGATGAGAATAGGTTACCACTTTGTAACAAAACAGTTGTTTGGGGAAAAATGTTGATATGTAGCTAATTTGAATTTTGACTTGGATTCCTTTTCAACCTCAAAAAACCTTGGTTTCCTTTAAAGCTCTTTCATTATTAACACCCATGCATTTTATTCTCAGCATGTATCATCTAGGGGAAGGCTGCGGATCGACTCCTCCATCTTCCCAGCCTTGGCGGAGGATCACCTCCCATCACAGTCTGTTTCCCCCCCATCTCCTACCTCTCTCCCCAGGGTTGTCATTATTTAGCGCCCTCTCTCCTCCTTGAGTCACTTCTTGGTGTAGAAGTTTCTTCTTCCTTTATGTCTCATGAGGCCTTGGAGCAGTGCCTGGCAGCATGAGGGGCAGGAGTTTCCACACTGCATTTCTGAAATGTGGATGCTCCGCCAGCGGGTGAGCGTGTCTACTGCACTTATGTTGCTGAAGGAATTTTATAGCTGCCAAATTCTGTCTCAGCCCTTTCTTTGCTTTCCCAGGGATCCACTTAACAGACTTTCTCCAGCTCTGTTGCTCTTCCAAGGTCCCAAAATATGTCAGATAAAGATAAAATATAATTGTTTGAAAATAGAAAGCAACTCCCACTTGTTTTCTCATACAGTTCAAAAGCAAGGATGGCGTTTTCCAAGTACTTCTGTCTGGCTTTTTGGACATTGTTCAGATTGAAAGCCTGCTTCGGTGAGGGAGCTCTGGGCGGAGTGTGAGGGCAGGAGCCCCCCTCAGCACACCCTTGCCATCTTCTTTACACCCCCTTGCTCTCTCTCTCCTGTGGTCACCTGACCAGTAGCCAGGGAGAAGCCTGCAACAGGGGAAGCAGTGTTGTCTTCCTTGGCTCTTGCAAGGAAGAAAAGGAATCGCTCACACCTGTGGGATCACCCCAAGGGACAGAGCCGAATCTCATAGCTTAGGCATAGCTGACATTAATTTGATCAGGCATGTCTTCATGAGTTTTCTGGCAGAGTGGACAAGCACCCTGAGCCGCCTCCAGACAGGGACATGTCCGGCACATACCCACGCAGAGGTGACTTTCATTTGTGTTGATACTGTCTAATGCCAGTGTCTAGTCAGCAGTTAACTCCAGCTCAAAAGGAGTGAAAGCGGGACAGGCAGGTCCGCATTAACCCATGTGTTGCCTATTTAAACTACCTTTAAGGAACAATTAACCCAAGGAAACTGGCTGGTGAGCTGGAGTTAACACAAAAATCGTCTTTAAATGATTAGTGGTTCCAGATTCTTTTCTTTGAGGAAAGGGTTTCTGCAGAAGCTTGAAAAGATCTCCACTATTGCAAGTGTTCAGCCTCTGCCTTAGCAAAGAGTTCAGATAAGGATTTTAAATCCATTTGGTTAAATTGAACACATTCTTTTTCTTTCTTTCTCTCTCTCTCATCTCTTTCTCTCTTTCCTTTCTTTCTTTCTCAGGGTCTTCCTCTGTCACCCAGGCTGGAGTCTAGTAGTTTGATCTCAGCTCACTGCAGCCTCTGCCTCCCAGCTAAAGTGATCCTCCCACTTCAGCCTCCTGAGTAGCTGAGACTACAGGCACATGCCACGATGCCCAGCTAATTTTTTTTTTTTTTTTGTAAAGATGGGTTTCACCATGTTGCCCAGGCTGGTCTTGAGCTCCTAGGCTCAAGTGATTCACCAGCCTTGGCCTCCCAAAGTCCTGGGATTACAGGCATGAGCTACTGTGCCTGACCTTAAATTGAACAGAATTCAGATTTCATTTGGGGATGGTCTACTCTAAATGGTTGTAGGGTGGAAAGCCAACTGCTCTCAGGCTGATGGGGTAGGCTCCAGATTTGCTGGAAAACAGGCTACTGAACTACCGGCCTGAGGTACTCATGCGAGGGTTGTCCTGGCATCTTCAGTTCCTTCTTCTGCCAGCAGTGGCAGTCCCCAGATGTGTCTGCTGTGGCTGATTGATGTCACTGGACCTTTGGAGGGTCCTGAGCGCCACTTTAAAATCCTCCAGGATACTTATCATGATGACTTTCATTGTCTGAAGCCAGACCAATAGGTTCTGCTGAAAATAATTTAGCACAAACTCCAACCTGGGGAGCTGGGAAAGGACTGTGTCCCTTTCCCATGCATGCAGGCTGTCCCTGTGGGGACCGGGAGAGCAGGAGGGAGAACAGCCTGCTTGTGTCTCTCCCCTTTCTGATGACCTGTGCCTGTGCCGTGCAGTCTGTGATGTCTGTGCATCGGTGGCCAGGTCATACTTCTGTGTATAGTAGGCATGCAGGTATGTCATTCTGTGAGTTCTTTGAGGGTTGGACTTCTTAGAGTCCCTTCCATCACCTTTAAACATAGTAGAGAATACATTGTGTACTGCTTTTCTCTTTTTCAAAGCTTTGTGCTATTTACCTCTGCATTGCCATCGTTGTCATAAAAGACTTGTTTGCAAATAAGGGAAGTTTGCAGGGGCATCGTTGTTAATGTCTACGATGTATTAAATAGTTCAAGGATAGACTGGACAAGAAAAATGAGGCACATCTACACCATGGAATACTATGCAGCCATAAAAAATGATTAGTTCGTGTCCTTTGTAGGGACATGGATGAATCTGGAAATCATCATTCTCAGCAAACTGACACAAGAACACAAAATCAAACACTGCATGTTCTCACTCATAGGCGGGTGTTGAACAATGAGAACACACGGACTCAGGGAGGGGAACATCACACACTGGGGTCTGTTGGGGGGGGGCTAGGGGAGGGACAGCAGGGGGGGGGAGGGATAACATGGGGAGAAATGCCAAATATAGGTGATGGGGGTGGAGGCAGCAAACCACCTTGCCATGTAAGTACCTATGAAACAACCCTGCATGATCTGCACACGTACCCCAGAACCTAAAGTACAAAAAAAATAATAGTTCAAGGGTAAGGTGAAACATGTGCCTGATGTTGTGAGTGTGTGCACATATACACAAACATGTACCCATCCCTGTGTACCTTTCACCTCACGAGCCATCTTCACCCTTAATCAGCCCTCCCCTTCTTTTTCCATACTCCTTTAAAGATGCTGAATTAAAAAAAAATTAACAGGCATTTTTTAGAACAGTGTTAGGTTTCCAGAAAAATTGAACAGAAAATCCAGAGTCTTCCTGCCTTCCTCATCATTTCCCTTATTTTAACGTCTTGCATTAGAGTGATACCTTTATTACCATTAAGCCAGTATTGATACATCATTATTATCTAAAATCAGTAGTTTACATTAGGGCTCGTTCTTTGTGTTTTGCCTTCTGTGGGTTTTGCCGAATGTATAGTGACGTGTGCTGACCATTACAGCATCATACAGAGTAGTTCCACTGCCCTGAAACCCCAGTGCACCTCTTGAAATCCATCCCTTATCACCCGTGGCATCCACTGATCTTTCTCCGTAATCAGTCTCTGTAGTTTTGCTGTCTCCATGATTTTGCCTTTTCTAGAATGTCATGTGGTTGGAATCATATAGTATGTAGCCTTTTCAGATTGGCTCATTTCACCTAGTAATATGCATATAAGTTTCCTCTCTTTTCGTGGCTTGATAGCTCATTTTTTTAAGCACTAAATAATACTCCAGTGTCTGGATGTACCACAGTTTGTTTATTCATTCACCTAAGGAAACATATCTTGGTTGCTTCCAAGTTTAGGCATTCTGAATACAGCTGCCATAGCATTTATGCACAGGTTTTTGTATGGACTTACGTTTTTTACTTATTTGGATAAATACCAATTAACAAAATTGTTGGCTCGCAAGATGCTGGATTATAAAAGAAGTCACTGGTGATATCTGGCACCTCCCAGAGCTCTAACAGACTTGATGTGTTTTTCCCAGGGATGATTACCACGAGGACGGGATCTGCCAGCCTTACCAGGGAATTGCCTGTGCGTGCTTCATTGGCAACTGGACCATTTATGTGGACTCGCTGCAGATGCAGGGGTAGATTGAAAACAGAATCACAGGTAGGAGTTGCAGACCTTTCTTACAGGGGGATAAGCATGTGCAGCCACTGTGTTTCATCAGTTAATGGCGTGGACAGTCCCTTTTTCATCTAATTTGTGGTAGAAAACCAGAGATCTTTTTTAGAAGTAGTTGCAATTGCTAACATGATCTGCCCTAAAAGTGTTCCTGGCCTGTGTGTTTAAATTAGCAAGTATGGGATTTAACTCTGCAGTGAGGACAGGGCTTGTGTGGGTCCAAAGCCCTGTCCTCAATGCAGTGCCAGGGCCTCCTGCCCCTGGCCTGCCACACTGGCACAGGCAGCCTCAGTGCCCCCACACTCCCTCTGCTTGACTTCTCATTCTGCACTTCCTGACTCTTCTATCCTCTCTGAGCCACTTTTGGTCCAAAGGCAGCCAGGCCTGATTGCAGCTGTGTGGGGGAAAGAGTTGGGTCATTGGTGGAAGGGACGCTGCAGTGAACACATACTTCATCAGTCCTGCGTTTCCAGAGAACAAAGCCAGGTCTTTGGGTACGTGATTCAGGGTCTGAGAAAGTGCACGTCATTTAGGAACTGGAGCTGCCCATCTTTGCTCTCTTTAGGACTTAACTTCTCTGATTGGCTGTCCCAGCTCCCAGCACACAACTCAAACACATTGATGGGGTCTGGGGTCCTCCTTCAGGAAGAGGCCTTGGATAGCAAGAAAATTAATTAGACAAAAGTCCTACAGAGCCAGCCATCTGCTGTACCTACTCTCCCCACAAACATCACATACACGTTTTCTCTGCAGACCCTACAAGAGCAAGAAACACCCTGTGTGGATGGCACGTGCCCCAGCACCTTGGATTAGCTGGATCTTCTCCGCGGGTGTGGGAGGCTGTGCTGCAGATTAGAATCAGTGGGCGATCTCTGATACCTGTGCTCCCAGGAGAGTGTGGTGGGGGCAAAGTGGGTGCAGGGCACTGACCTGGTAAGGGGCAACAATGAGATCTAAGGCAGAAACTCACCTCATGTCACTGACAAGTTCTTCCAAGTTCAGGTCACTCTCAGACTAGAGAGTCCAAGGTCATGGTCACATGAGACTGCCTGACCCATGAGGCCAGGGCCAGGGTCCCATGCAAAGTGAAAGAGCCATCATGAGACACAGAGGAACCTGGAGGTGCCATTCTGCTCTAGCGGGAGGCGGTTTTGAAAATATGGGTACCTCTCACTATAAAAGCTTTCTTTGCCATTAAAGCAGGGCTTCTCAAATGTTTTCACTGAAGCATGAAGTGGAAAATCTGGAGTATACTTTACTTACTTTACACCATGGTTTAATTTACACATACAGGTATTTCACACAACTGACACTGGTTACAGGGAATAACTTTCACCCTTCATAAAAGTGGTGCACTTGGATTTTTCTCTTTGGTTTTGTTTCATAAAAGAAAAAAATAGCTGGGCGCAGTGGCACTCAGCCTGTAATCCCAGCACTTTGGGAGGCCAAGGCAGGTGAATCATAAGGTCAGGAGTCAAAACCAGCCTGGCCAATATGGTGAAACCCTGTCTCTACTAAAAATACAAAAAATTAGCTGGTCGTGGTGGCAGGCGTCTGTAATCCCAGCTACTCAGGAGGCTGAGGCAGGAGAATCTCTTGAACCCAGGAGGCAGAGGTTGCGGTGAGCCGAGATCATGCCACTGCACTCCAGCCTAGGTGACAGTTCGAGACTCTGTCTCAAAAAATAAAGATAAAAATAAAGTTACAGCCCTTAGTAGGAACCCTGCACTCTGACATCCTCCAGTCTGTTCTTACCTTGTTTAAGAATGTTAGCCGCAGACTCCAGAGTTATTAGACACCCCACTAATTGGCAAGCACTGATCCAGGTACAAGGCTTCCCTCAGTTATTTCTTCAGGAGTTATTTAAGGAATCAACTTGCATCCAAGCAGCCTGGTTTTATAGCAGCTTTTAGTGAAGAGTTTAGAATGAGAATTTCCTAGGTTGGTGGCTTTTCGAAAAGAATAAATTTGAAGTTGCTTTCAGCAGACTTGTGCTTTTGACATAAGCGTAGTAATGAGTGCGTTGGGTGCAGTATTCTGCTGGAAAGCATGGTGTGACATTCAGGGTGTGGTCAGAGACCAGGTGTTGCATCTTTTTAGTGCCTGGAATTGCACTTTCAGAAATAAGCAGTACATTCTCAGGGTGAGCAAAAGGAAGAAGAGAAATCCTATAAAGATCAGCAGAATCATTGTATCAGTGGATTAGCCCAAGAGAAGTGACAGCTTTGGCATTCTTAGACAATCTTTTCCTGCCTACATTTTTGACAGCCCTTCATATAATCCTAAATCCGTAATGATGGGATTGAACCGGGTTGAAGCCTCAGTTCTTCCTCCAAATCTAAGACATCCTATACTGTAACCGCTTACCCTCTGTGTTCCTCCATTTAAATATTGGCCACAGGAACCCGGAGGATGGGAGGTGATGTGATGAGGATGGCAGTCACGACGGTGTGGCTGCTTCCACCCACTGACACCACCTATTACCAGACCCCTGGGCCCATTCACTCTGAGGGCCACTTTATAGGCTCTGTGTTCACTCTCATTGCCCAGTGTGGGGTCTCAAATCACTCTGCAGGTACAGAAACAGGCCCAGAAAGCCGTGAGTGATATCACAAAGTGATCATGCATAAGGCTGTTCCCACACAGCTGCCCATCCCAGTCCTGGGTGGGTTCCCAGGAATGACTGGCAGCAGCAGTGCCACCTGCTGGCCAAACCTGGCATAGCATGTACCTCTTTCCTTGCCCCAAGGTCAAGGCCGGCAATCTTGACAACCTTCGTATAATCACCAAATAATCACCAAATCCATAAAAAAATGATGGGATTGAACTGCATTCATGGGTGGAGCTAGAGCTGCTCAGGGACTAAATGCCAGCTTCTGGGTTTTCTTCCCTGTTGGAGGACACAGCCTCAGCTGGATGTGGGGGCAGAGGCGCCTGTCTGCCTCCGCTGTCCCCAAGCTCAATTGCTGTAAGCCAGCCTTCCACAGGTGAAAGTAGAGTAGTGAGCCCAGGGCAGGCTGATGCATTCCTTGGAGTCCTGCGTTGGCCAGCTTCTTCACCCCTACCTGCGGTGCAGCCGTGCACTCCAGGTGCAGCAGAGCTCCCCCAAACGCCCCCACCTTGTTCCGGAACTCACCCACCCTCTTGCCGCCACAGTGCAGCCTCTGACAAATTGCCCTTAAAAAACAAACCGCCCCACAAAAGGAGGTTCTGAATTTTCGTGTTTCTCTGCTCCCCCTTACCACAGAAACTTCCAGAGTTGTAAAGCGGCCTTCCGCCTGCTGTGCTGCTCCCACCCTCTTGGCTTTCTGCATTTTACCAGCTGCCTCCTGCAGCTGCAGTTCACAGAGCTGAGCTGACTCCCTCCTCCGGGACAGCCTTCTTCCCAGACAGACCTGGGACATTGGGAAGCCCGGCCCCCCTGACTGCACCTCTTGGCCTTCGCTCTCCACACACAGCGGGTCCTTGGGATCTGCTTTTGCATCTGAAGTCTGAACCTTCCTATCCTGGAAGAAGCACCTAGTGGAGTGAGCTGGGGGCCTAGTTTTCCTTCTCTCTTGTTCTGCTTCTGATATTTCTAAGTGAGACCCTGGGGCAGGGACCTCCCGTGTCTGCTGCAAATCAGAGCATGTGATGGGCAGGCTGGCCTGCCGGCAGGGAGCTTCTCCAGAGTGGTGTGGGGCTTGGGGCTGGGGATTCGGGGGTGGGGCAGGGCATCACGGGGCTGAGTGGGCAATCTGGGATGCAGGCTGGGGGTGGGGACTGGATGAATGTCAGGGGCGCGAGGCGGGTCGACTGCTAATGCCAGTCTCGCGGGCTCTGCAGTGGCCTTCACCATGATCGGCACCTCTACACACCTGTCAGACCAGTGCTCGCAGTTCGCCATCCCATCCTTCTGTCACTTCGTGTTCCCTCTGTGTGACGCGCGCTCCCGGGCGAGCTGTGTCGCGACGAGTGCGAGGTGCTGGAGAGTGACTTGTGCTGCCAGGAATACACCATCGCCCGCTCCAACCCGCTCATCCTCATGCGGCTGCAGCTGCCCAAGTGGGAGGCGCTGCCCATGCCCGAGAGCCCTGATGCTGCCAACCGCATGCGCATCGGCATCCCAGCAGAGGGGCTGGGCCGCTGTGAGTGCCCGTGGGCCCGGGGTGGGACCAGTGGGGGCAGGGAGTGGGGGGCCCTTGAAACGTGTATGGGGCAGCTGGTAAAGCCCAGGGAGCTCCGTCTGTCTGCAGAGCCTGTGGCTGACTGGCTCCAAATCCCCTGCTCCAAGGCCCCAGCCCCACAGAACCCCATTAGCAGCCGAGGGCCCCACAGCCCAGGCCTCTCCAGCAGGGCAGTAGGTGGGGCCTTGGAGCAGGGGATTTGGAGCCAGTCAGCCACAGGCTCGCATTTGGGCTTGCACTGTGTCCAGCTGTGGGACTCAGGTCAAGTCCCTCCACCTGCTGGAGCCTGGGATTTCCCTTCTCTGAAATGGGAGTGATCTCACTATCTGGGGAAATGGCTCTTAGGCGTGTGAGAGGAGTCAGGGTCAGCATGCACTCCGGTGCCAGGGGAGAATGCAGACTCTCAGCTCCTGCCCTATCCTCCTGAACCTGTAGAATCAGTCCCCAGATACCTGTAGGATCTGTAAGCTTGGAAGAGTGTGAGGCCCATGGAGATGCTGCAGGATTGGCCTGGTGGGCACCTGAGAAGAACCTGTCATGATCAGGCACTGCTAGGGAAGGACATACAGGGAAGGACCCTGCACCTTTGCAGGCACCGTTTCACAGGTCCCTGCATCCTGGGACCTAAGGGATGAGCATGGTGGAGGGGCTCATCTGAGCCAAGGCTTGGATGTGGCCTGTTTGGGGTCTGCATGGGATGAGAGAGCATGCTCCCCATTGCCCCTCTTGCTGGCAGCAGAGCAGCCCCTGCCCTTTGGAGACTTAGTGAACCCCAAGTTTGAGCCCCAGCAGGGTGGCTATGGCCAGTCAGGGTGGCAGACACAGGAGAGAGAGCTCTGATGATGTCCTCGAGGAAAACCATTGGCTCACATCACTGCATCCATCAGGGCTGCTGCCTCCCTGAAGGGTGAGACCCTGGGAATGGGCCACCACCTGCCATAGCCCCAGGCCTCTATTTAGCATGATTGGTTAATCCAGGAATGGGCTGAATTCTTTACCAGGACAGCCAGAACCTGGTCCCTGGGCCCACTGCCTGCAGAGGGCCCACAAACCCTCACTGTGACTCTGGGCAAGTTGCTAAGCTCTCATATCCTCATATTCCGTGGGGATGACACCAGTACAAATCCTTGGGGCTGGAATGAAGGTCAGATGGGGCAATATTTAGGAAGGTGTTTTTTTGGTTGGTTTTGTTTTTTTTTCAGACAGACTTTCACTCTGTCACCCAGGCTGGAGTGCAGTGAGTGGCACAATCTTGGCCCACTGCAACCTCCACCTCTCAGGTTCAAGCAATTCCCCTGCCTCAGCCTCCTGAGTAGCTGGGACTACAGGCATATGCCACCACACACTTGGCTAATTTTGTATTTTAGTAGAGACGGGGTTTCTCCATGTTGGCCAGGCTGGTCTCAAACTCCTGACTTCAAGCGATCCACTCGCCTCACCTTCCCTGAGTGCTGGGATTACAGGCATGAGCCACAGTGCCCAGCCAGGAAGGTTTAGAACAGTGACTCACACATGGCACACACTACAGAAGTGTTCACCAAAGGCACACCCCACCCCAGGGCTCCTCCATGGAGGTGAGAAGGATGCCCTGAGGTGGAGGGGCCGGGCCTGGGAGTTCACCCTTCTTGCCTGCGCAGTTGGCTTTCTTCCTAGAGCAAGTGATCCTGAGGCTGGAAATGACACTCTCATCCTGACGAGGTGGTGGTATACAGGTTGTGGGTCCCAGAGATGGTTTTGGGGCTGTGGAATACTTCTCATGGGTTTCCTTCCCCATATATATCCCTGATGTGCTCTGCATTTAATTTGTGAGCTGACTTCATTAAGCCATTACTTCTAATGCCCTTTTCTGGTAAGTTAGGTAAAATCCTTGGATCTTTTGGAAATTCTAGTTTGGGCATGTGTAGGCAGAATGGTTTTGTTGTATCCCGGAGATTTTTCTAACATGTTTTCCTCATTCAGACCATCAGTGCTATAACGGCTCAGGCACGGATTACAGAGGAACGGCAAGCACCACCAACTCACGGCATCAGTGCCAGCCGTGGGCCCTGCAGCACCCCCACAGCCACCGCCTGTCCGGCGCAGACTTCCTCGAGCTCGGAGGGGGGCATGCCTACTGCCGGAACCCTGGCGGCCAGATGGAGGGCCCCTGGTGCTTTACGCAGAATAAAAACATATGCATGGAACTGTGTGACCTACCCTCGTGTAGTATGTATTCTCTCTCTCTCTTTTTTAAATGTGTAGACTGTTGAGTGAACCTTGTGATGAGAACATTCTGTCCTGACCTGGGTTGGGGTGCGCCTCTGTATCGTGGTGACCAGACCCCCCGTCTCACCACAGTGACTATTTTAAATAAAGCTGCTGGGCCAGGCGCAGTGGCTCATGCCTATAATCCCAGCACTTTGGGTGGCCAAGGCAGGCAGATCACTTGAGATCAGGAGTTCAAGACCAGCCTGGCCAACATGGTGAAACCCCATCTCTAGTAAAAATACAAAAATTAGCTCGGTGAGGTGGCACATGCCTGCCTGTAATCCCAGTACTCAAGAGGCTGAGGCAGGAGAATCACCTGAACCCAGGAAGTGGAGGTTGCAGTGAGCCAAGATTGCAGCACTGTGCTCCAGCCTGGGCAACAGAGTGAGACCCTGTCTCAAAAATAAACAGATAAATAAAGCAAGCTGTAGGTGATAATGAAAGTAACATCTGCATATTATAAGACATTTTAAAATATAGAAAAGTCTGAAGAATATTGTGGAGATCACGCCTAATTTAACCAGCAGTGACTCATTTGCACTTTGGCTCACGCTCTCCATCACTCGCTTTCCATGGATGGATGGTCCTGGGATAGTCACTTTCCATTTTGTTTCTCCGTTAACATTACAGGACAATGCAGCGGCTCACCACCTGTAATCCTAGTACTTGGGGAGGCCAAGACGGGTGGGTCTCTTGAGCCCAGGAGTTTGAAACCAGCCTGAGCAACACGGTAAAAATCCGTCTCTACAAAAAATACAAAAATTACCCAGGCGTGGCACCTGCGGTCCCACCTACTTGGGTGGTTGGTGGGAGGACTGCTTGAGCTCAGTAGTTCACAGCTGCAGTGAGCCGTGATGTTGCCACTCGCCTACAGCCTGGGCAGCAAAGCATTCCTTACTCCTTGCAAGGGTGTCTGTAGTGGCATGAATACGGAAGCACGTGTAGTTGATGGTTCACAGCTTCGACAGTTCTCACCTCTTAGTCATGCACGGCTCACCAGTTGCAGGCAGCAGGGTAACTGAGGCTGGGCTGGGAGCTAGAAGCAGTGATTGGTGAATGAGTGGGCACCCGCTGATAGAGAGCAGCCGGTGAAGCAAGGCTGCGCTCCTCGTGCACCTGGAGGCCTCCTCCTGGGGTGCAAGCCCGCGTGTCTCTACCCCAAAGTGCAGGGAGTAAACACTGGTACTGATGGCCTTTCTGATGTGTGAATTCAGCAGCTCCAAATTTGGCATTGCCTCTGGCTCAGCTGGTCAGACACAAGTCTTCAAGAGTGTGTTCATTATGGGAGAACAAATTTTAAGAATGGAATTATCAGTAGTTCAAATTGCACTGTAGGCACTCTGGAGCACTCCAGACCGCAGTTTTCTGCAAAGAAGAATGGCCTCATCCCCTGTAAGGAACAAAAGCAGGTTGTAGGATAGAACTGTGTTAGAGGTGCTTTTTTGTTCATTGTTTTGTCTCTGGCAAAAAGAAGATGAGTGACTTTTGTGTGTGAGCACACACAGGCACCTGACTTGTATGAGGTTTTGGAAAGATGCATATCAAACTTTTAGCAGTGATTTCCCCGGACCTACAAAAGTGACTTTTTTTTTTTTTTTTGCAGTGAGTAGGAATTACTTTTGTAATTAAAAGTAAATCAAAACATGAAGAAAAGTATGATTTTGGACCTGTCAATTATTATTATTTTTGTTTTGAGACAGAGTCTTGCTCTGTTGCCCAGGCTGGAGTGCAGTGGTGCAATCTCGGCTCACTGCAGCTTCCGCCTCCCGGGTTCAAGAGCAATTCTCCTGCCTCAGCCTCCTGAATAGCTGGGATTACAAATGCCTGCCACCATGCCCGGCTAAATTTTGTATTTTTAGTAGAGATGGGGTTTCACCAAGTTGACAAATTCTTAAAATCTTGTATTGCAGATTTGTACTTCGAGGGCATAAATGAAAGGATATTTATTGCAGACTCACTTGTGAGAGCTAAACACAAAACAGACTGTTGATCAGTAGGTCTGGATGGGATAGGTGGAGATGCCCGTACTGTGGAGTGGCATGCAGCTGTGGGGGACACGCACATCTGTTTGCTTCAGCATGAACTGTCATCCAAGAGATTTTATTCTGCCAAAAAGACAGGCGTGAGAAAATATGGATGACACAATTCTACTTAAAATGAAGTTCATTCAGGTCGGGTGTGGCAGGTCACACCTGTAATCCCAGCACTTTGGGAGGCTGAGGCAGGCAGATCACCTGAGGTCAGAGTTTGAGACCAGACTGGCCAACATGGTGAAACTCCATCTCTACTAAAGATACAAAAGTCAGCCAGGCATTGTGATGCATGCCTGTAGTTCCAGCTACTTGGGAGCCTGAGGCAGGAGAATCACTTCAACCCCGGGGACCGAGATTGCAGTGAACTGAGATCCCACCATTGTACTCCAGCCCAGGAGACAGAGTGAGACTCTGTCTCAAAAATAAATAAATAAATAAAAACTTCATCTCATAAATAAGTAAATAAACTCCGTCTCAAAAATAAACAAAATATAAAATGAAGTTCATTCAACATTTGATTTAAGAAAACCATATGAAACTCAGTGTCTATATGTCAGAATAGTTGAATATCAGTTCCATGTGGTTCAATCTAAAATACACATAAAATTAGGAGAACATGAAACTCAACCGTTTATAGCCTTTGAGAAAGAGGGCTCTTAGAAACATTATCTTTTGAAAGGCCACATTTCTAGAATACTGCAGTATTTCCCAGTAAGCATGAGTCGTGTTTGGTAATGTTAAGCAGATGATAAAGGCAGGTGATAGTGTCGGTGTGAGCTCACACCTCTGACCTTGGTGTGAGAGACCTGGACCCTCCTGCTAACCTTAATAATAAATGAACCAAACCCTAGTAAGGAAGAATGGACCGGCATCCCCGGTGCCCCTAAGACTTCTGGGACACCTGCCTTGGAGCCCTTTCGGAGGGGAAGCTGCTGGGTGGGTCAGAAGATAGTTTTGTTTGTGGTTTTACTTGCTTTCATCTTACTTTGGGGAGCAGGGGTGGGGCAAGGCTGGGTTTGGGACAAGGTGCTTTTTTCCTAAGGTGGCAATAGCATGTTCACTTTTAGAACTGAATAAACTCTTTTAAAGATGACACTGATCAGAAATCACTTGTTTGCTTCCAGATGGGAAGCCGTTTGTCCCCTGGCCATGGGGCCTTCTAAGTCTGATAAGATTATTTGCAGGGTTAAGGAGGAAACAGAACTCCAGGGATGTGGGAAAGTGGCTCTGTAGAGAACTCACCTTCCACCAGGCTTAGGGTCAGCCTCCTGAAACGTGCCGCTTGGTCTTACATTCAGTTGCTTTGATGCGCGCAAATTGCAGATTGCTTGGGGTTCATGCAGCCTGGGAGGAGCCAGCCCTGTGGGATGCCCGCTCAGAGCCTGAGGTCACCTCAGCCTGCCTGGTGTGCCCCCGTGCCTTTCCGTAAATCCTGTAGAGGGAGACAAAGAGTTACTTTTCCCTGTGATAAAAAAATGCAGGGAAGGTAGCTGGAGGCCTTGACTGTTGGTAGGTACTCCGTGCTTTCCAAGGATTCCTGTGCCCCTATGGTGTATTATATTGGGTCAGGTGCATGGACTGCTGGTGTGCCTTTAAATCTAGTGCATGTTGGATTATTATTCTAAAAGAATCTGTCATCATTGGATAAAAACATGAAGAAAACATTAAAATGCTGAATGAGGAAAAGGATCGTGTCTAATCCCAGTACCAAGTTTCACCCACCTTGAACAAGGGTCTCCAGTGAATTTCATCAACCTATCTGGGAAGACCTTTGATAAAAGCAAAATTGAGCAGAGCGCCTGTCTCTGATGATATTCAAACATCAGGAACAGAAAGTGGATGTGATCACTATGAATATTAAGATCTTTAGAGTCCATTTACTTTGTATGCTGCATATTCCAGTTTGTTTCCAGGTTGAGCGGTTTTGGGTTGTATTTCCTCAGGATGCAGCACGGTGTGTGTTTTTTGATGCATTGTGCTTTTTTGGGTGTGGGGTGCCCTTTTACCCCGTTGTGTAACATAGGTGATTACCCATGTGCCTGTAAAGATTGTGGCTGGAGGTGGAGAATGGGTTGGTAGGGAACTTACCGTTGAAAAGGGGATGTTTTCTGAAAAAAATCACAAAAGCCGTGTTGTTCACAGGTCCCCGAGACAGCAGCATGATGGGGATTCTGTACATCTTGGTCCCCAGCATCGCGATTCCACTGGTCATTGCTTGCCTTTTCTTCTTGGTCTGCATGTGCGGGAATAAGCAAAAGCCATCTGCATCCATGCTGCAGCGGCGACAGCTGATGGCCTCACCCAGCCAAGACATGGAAATGCCCCTCATTAACCAGCACAAACAGGTCTCCGTGCTTACGTATTCCACCCGGGTTGCTCTTCCAGGTTTAATCCTCAGGGGTTGTTTCCCCACCATTAAATGTCTTAATTTACTTGATACATAACACATAATTCTTTTAAACTCCTCTTTGTTTTGCCTTTTTTGTCTGTAAACTAGATCAGGACATGTGTGCCTTAGAAAATAAATGGCAGGTGTGTTGGGAATTCACTGCCCCAGAGTCCATGGGGCTCCCTCTGCCTGGACCATGCTGCCCCTGTGGGCCCCAGTGGGCATCCACAATATCTGGGTGCCTTAGCTCTGCCCAGAGGGCACACAAGAAAAAGAGGGCTCCAATGCCTCCCACAGTTTTTCTTGTCACTTTAGGGTTGGGTTGTTATGCTTTAACAGGGAAGGATGGAAGAATAGCCCTTAAATGGGAGTAGACAGACAGGCTACCACTAAAAGGCCACCCTCATCCCAGAGCCGCCTTAGCTGGGGGTGGGGGCACTGAAATACAACAGATGTGAATATGTGCCGCAGCCTCTCCAGCTTTTGTTGTAAAAGGGCATTTACGTTCATTCGCAGCCTTAGGGAACATCATTCCCAGCTGACTTTGCAAGGGCTCTTCAAGGTGTCTAGGAGGGAGTCGATGCACCTAGCTCTTCAGTCGCAGAGTTGGTGAGGGTTTGCTGTAGCCAGGGGCTGACCCGTGAGGAGGGCACAGAGCCCCTGGGGCTTGCGTGGAGGCCCAGGAGCCTCCGGGAAGGATGAGGGGTGGCCACACAGGAGGAGCCCGTGTTGTAGAGTCTGAGAGAGATGCAGGGTTCTGAGGGCGCCCATCATTTGTGGAGTCCTTCCAAAAGCATGTTTAACTGACAAGCAGTCCATATGACATGCCCGCTGAAGGAACCGCTGTAGAACAACTGGCCTGGACTCTGAAAGTGACAAAATTGCCAAGACAACAGTGTCCTGGGAAAGCCAGCATGGGATCCCTGAGAAAAAGACATTGCATCTCACATCATGTGGCAGCACACATGAGGGGTAGAGGGGACCTGGTAGGGTGCATCCGGGGCAGCCCCAGGACCGCTGGTGCCTGGTGTGTGTGTGTGTGTGTGTCCCCACGTGTGTCCACAGGTGCACTAGTGGAAAGGAAGTAACCTCGGCATCAGAGCCGTATTTCAGATTAACCAGGAGCCATGGGTGGGCAGGCAAAGGCTGGGTGGGCAGAACCAGCGGGTCTTCTGCAAGGCCTTTCCAGCTGTGGCCACACGGGGCTCCTCCCAGCTGCCTTCCACCATCCTCCAGGGCTTCGGCCACAGCAAAGTTTCACATGGGGCTTTTCTTCTTGACAGGCCAAACTCAAAGAGGTCAGCCTGTCTGCAGTGAGGTTCATGGAGGAGCTGGGAGAGGACCGGTTCGGGAAAGTCTACAAAGGCCACCTGTTGGGTCCTGCCCCGGGGGAGCAGACCCAGTCCGTGGCCATCAAAACGCTGAAGGACAAAGCAGATAGGCCTCTGCGGGAGGAGTTCTGGCACAAGGCCACGCTGCGAGCGTGGCTGCAACACCCCAGCATCGTCTGCCTGCTGAGTGTCGTAACCAAGGAGCAGCCCCTGAGCATGATCTTCAGCTACTGTTCACAGGCGACCTCCACGAGTTCCTGGTCATGCGCTCGCTGCACTCAGACGTGGGCAGTGCTGACGACGACTGCATGGTCAAGTCCGCCCTGGAGCCCCGGGACTTCGTGCTTCTGGTGGTGCAGATTGCGGCAGGGATGGAGTACCTGTCCAGCCACCACATGGTTCACAAGGATCTGGCCACCCGCAACGTGCTGGTGTATGACAAGCTGACCGTGAAGATCTCAGACCTGGGCCTCTTCCGAGAGGTGTATGCCGCCGATTACTACAAACTGCTGGAGAACTCGCTGCTGCCCATCCGCTGGATGGCCCCTGAGGCCATCACATACTGGAAGTTCTCCATCGACTCGGATATCTGGTCCTACGGCATGGTCCTGTGGGAGGTCTTCAGCTACGGGCTGCAGCCCTACTGCGGATACTCCAACCAGGACGTGGTGGAGATGATCCGGAACCAGCAGGTGCTGCCCTGCCCCAACAACTGTCCCACCTGGGTGTACGCCCTCATGATCGAGTGCCGGAATGAGTTCCCCAGCCAGTGGCCCAGCTTCAAGGACATTCACAGCCAGCTCCGAGCCTGGGGCAACCTTTCCAACTACAACAGCTCGGCGCAAACCTCGGGGGCCAGCAACACTACGCAGACCAACTCCCTGAGCACCAGCCCAGTGAACAATTTGAGCAACGACTGCTATGTGGGACCCAAGCAGAAGGCCCCATCCTTCCCACAGCCCCAGTTCATGCCCATGAAGGGCCAGATCAGACCCATGGTGCCCCCACCACAGCTCTACGTCCCTGTCAATGGCTACCAGCCGGTGCCGGCCTATGCGGCCTACCTGCCCAACTTCTACCCAGTGCAGATCCCAATGCAGATGGCTCCGCAGCAGGTGCCTCCTCAGATGCTCCCCAAGCCCAGTTCGCACCACAGTGGAGCGGCTCCAGCAGCACGGGCTATGTCACCACAGCCCCCTCCAACACCTCCATGGCAGACAGGGCGGCCCTGCTCTCAAAGGGCACCAAGGACTCACAGAACACCCCAGAAGATGGAACCCAGATCCCCGTGCAAGAAGCGGAGGAGGAGAAGGAATGTTCTGTCCCAGAGACTGAACTGCTGGGAGACAGTGACACTCTGCAGGTGGACAAGGCCCAAGTCCAGCTGGAAGCTTGAGCGGCACCCGGGCCCAGGGTTTGGGACAGAAGCCCCACTGATACCCCACAGGGACCTCAATCACCTTTGAGAAGACAGCATACCCAGCAGTCAGGAGGGCCCACAGACCAGCGAGCTGGGTTGCAGACTGGGTGAGGTGGAGTCCTGCTCCTCTCTGTCCTCCGACACAGAAAGCTGCCCTGCCTAGGAGCACCCGAGCCAGGCAGGGGGCCTGGCAGTACGACATCCTGGGGAGCAGGACACATGGCCACCCTGGGGGCTGCTTGCATTGATTCTGGTGGTAGACTGGTAGTGAGCACCATATGCCTTGCAAGAAAGTAGGTGGCACCTTCACGCCGTATCGTATGTGGAGTGAATATTTCAAACGTTGGGAATGAGGACCTGCAAAAGGCAGCAAGGAGGCACCTCAGGTTTTGAGGTTCCCTGCCACCGGTCTGTTGGTTTGAGGATGCAGGGGCTCCATTTCTGCTGCCTCCCTGCCAAGAATATTCTCTCCTTAGCAGCCAAAGATTTGCTGGAACCGAGGCTACCCTCTGCTGCCTGTTGGGGTCGGAAGACAAGGGCTCCTGAAAGGAGAGTTCCTGAGATATAACAAAATGTGTGCCTTTAAAGAATCCATCAGCTTTGTATTTGGTGAAACAGTTTTAATTATACTGCATGTGTATTTTGCCCACTTTTTGGGAATTCAAGGGAGTGTTTCTTGGGTTTGGAATGTTCAGAGGAAGCAATATTGTACAGAACACAGTATTATTATTTTTTTTAAGAATCATGTACAGACCTTAAATGTAATTTATATGTTTTTAATATGTCATTTTCCTTGAAGTATTGTGATCTTAAGACAATGACTTTAGTAATTTAACTGTTTACATTACCCATGTTGGGATCCAGTTGGTCTTGGTTTGCTTGGCTTTGTACCACGTGCACATGAAGTTCGTTCATTTTAGAGCCCCCGTTACACATAGACCCGCAGGCAGCTGTCTGTATCCTGCACACATTTGTAAATCCCACACCTGGTGTATCCAATAAAGTGAAACAAAGCATTTGGTTGGTTCTCTTGCAGGGCGTAAGGACGTGAGGCAGTGGGAGACATGCTGGATGCCAGAGATGCCGAGTGGTGATGGTTTGGGCTGAGCCCTTTCTGTGGATTTGGGAGGCCTGCCCAAGCCAGGGGCCCCATGCTAATGGGAATATCCCTTGGCAGATACACGATGGAACTAACTCCATGGCTTCTCTCTGTTAAGGCCTCAAAGGCAGATTGGTTAATTGCAGGTGGTGTGAAGATGGTCTTTGATTTTAAACTTGCCCCCTCCTGAGGTCCCAGAGCCCCTGACATTTTTATACCTGGAGCCTGGCATGCCCTGGGGCCCTGAAGCAGGGCTGACTTCAAGGGAGGGGGAGAAAGAGAATGGGCCTCCTTCATGGGGTGCCTGCATTCCGGGCTCCATCTGCAGTGTAGTTGGCTGGGCCAAGGTATACCTGGGTCAGAGCACAGCTGGGACACAGTCACTCGGAGCAGTGGCTTCAGAGTTACCAGTATAACTGGCGTAGGGAGAGAGGGCACAGAGACCCAGGTGTAACAACAAGTCTCCTCACCTGGAGTAGATCCCACATAGTAGGTCACCAAACTAACCATGTCAACCTGAACTTTATCTTGTCACCGGGGAGAAAAGGTAACATCTTTTTCTAACCCACTGCAAGGCCCATGGCTGAGACCTCTATAACAAAAGACAGCCTAACGAGAAAAGCCTCAGGAGTGACCCAAAGAAGCAGGGAAGCCTGTGTATTTGCCTACTAAGTTTGGTGAAGTGGACAGGCTTGCAGAAGTGTGATTGGACAAAGGGATGTGACCAATGGCAATAGACCAGGGTGGGGTGGGGCAGGGGCAGGAGTGGGGCTTGTAAGACTTGTTTGTTCAGATTGTTTTTTTTTTCCTTGAGACAGAGTCTCACTCTGTTGCCAGGCTCCAGGCTGAAGTGCAGTGGCACAATCTTGGCTCACTGCAACCTTCGCCTCCGGTCAAGCAATTCTCCTGCCTCAGCCTCCTGAGTAGCTAGGATTACAGGCACATGCCACCATGCCCAGCTAATTTTTATATTTTTAGTAGAGACGGGGTTTCACCATGTTGGCCAGGATGGTCTCGATCTCTCGGCCTCGTGATTCGCCTGCCTCGGCCTCCCAAAGTGCTGGGATTACAGGCTTGAGCCACCGCACTCAGCCCAGATTGCTTTCTTTCTCCCTGTATCTTCAGAGATAAAAAGCTTCCCTGCCTCTGGGTACAGTGGGCACCTCTGGAATGAGAGTTTTATGGCCTGTCTGGGAGGAGAAGGTCAGAGAGACCTTCCTGATTCTGTGGCTTCCTCACGTGCCAGGCGCCACGTTTTGGGGGATCATGTCCTAATCCCATCACTGACCTCCCCTGGCTCCCTCGTAGCGTTGCTCACAGATTCACCCACACACAAACAAATACAGTGTTCTAATGTGCATCCTAAAAAGTCAGGGTAGACCCTCCCTTCTCAGCAGAAGGAAGTAATATGATTAGAGTAAGGATTTGGAGCACCTCTCCGGGCCAGTGGGGTCTGGATTGAACAGTTAAGAAGCTTGCGGTGAAATGGAGTTACTTCTCATTTCCACTGATCTGAAAGAGGAACTTACTTTATCTCTAACTAGGTACACCTGATGGTTTAACTGTTCTATTGAGACCTGAGAGTGAAAAACGGGAAATGGCCCTGTGGCTGCTTTCTCCACAAGCACAGTCAGTTGACCATCACCCTGAGCTGCCCAGGCAACTGACAGTGTCACAGAGCTACAGCAGCAGATTCTGCAAAACAATGTGGCAGGTTTATTTTTGCAGAGTGGGGGAGATTTTGGTTTGGGGGATTTTGAACATCCTTGTGCGTTACCATCAGTCTAATCGTAAAACCATGATGCATCATAAGGAATTACGTAGTTTTTAAAGTTCCTACTTTTCTACCAGAACGAGCATAGAAAATCAACATCAAGACAAAAGTATGCCAAATTGCAGGATCTATATTGCTGGTGGCCACAGAGGACTCATGTCTCTCCAATACGTGGCCCTGAAAGGAGAGTGTCAAGACCTTTTATGCCCGTAAACCACCTCCTGGGCGGGGGTGAGGGCGAGGGCCTTTGGACATTCTGAGAGCCAGTGGACTTTGAACATTCTGTAAACCACCTCCTGGACAGGGGTGAGGGCCAGGGGCTTCGCACATTCCAAGGGCCAGGGGACTTTAGACATTCCGATTGTTACTTAAGTGGTTCACAGAATTCAAGATAAGCATTAGTTTACACATTGTCTGGATAGGGTGGAAATTACAGGCTTTACTTATTACAAGTCGCAGGGGCCAAGATGGTGTGGGTCTGGACTGCTTGCCTGTCACATTAGGGTCACAGAGAGCAATTTCAGCAGAAAGCTGAGGTATGGCTGAGGTGTGCAGTCTATGGGGCTTTTACCATGTCACACAGCAATTGATTAATAGTGACTTAGTTGGGATATTCCAGAACAACTGATTCTAGAGCTGAGATGCACAATTCAGACAAATCACTAGTAACGTGCCTGTCCTTGTTCATACCCACATAACAGGGAGGTTTTCACATCTATTAGGTCACTTAAACGTGATTTTTAATCCAGCCACATGAAGTCACAAATGCCTTTGCACTGCTTACTGTTTGGTAGAAAGTCCCGCCATCTTTCCCCCAGGTTTCTTGCCCCCACCCTCCCCCCAGGCTTCCTGCTGCCCTGAGAAAAGCCCGCCAAGCCTGCTCTGTTCTGCCCAGCAACAACAAGCAGCCAATCATCGCAGCAGGAAAGCCCGCCAAGCCTCGGCCTATCCTGAACCGACACCTAACCCTCTGAGCCACCTCAGCAGTCTGCCCAGAGACGGACAGCCTATCCTAAGCTCCTACGACACTCCGCCAGCCCTGTGTCCACGCCCCGTCCACCCCCCTATAAAACCCTCCTACCCCAGCTGCGCAGTCGCAGCCAGCCCCGATCTCCTTCCTTTCCTGGCCTGCCCGCTGGTCCCAATAAACCTGAACTCGGCTTCCAACTCTCGAGCTGTTATTTGGGGTCGGGTACCAGGCAGGGGTCTACAAGGGGGTCGCACACTTACATTTTTTTTTATAATCATTGTTGTGTGTCCTAGCAGTGGATATATTTTTCTCTACTAATTTAAGGTGTGTGATTAACTACTCCAGTATACCAGAGCTCCCAACTCAGGAAAATGAGGAAACCTCTTGTTTTCCTGAGTTAGCTGGGAGCTCTGGTACACTGGAAACACTGTTTAAACATTCACCTCAGGTTTCCTTTAGCCTCACAATTCCACACTGATAGCTATTTTTGGACAGTATGTGATCAGATGTCTGAAATCTTGTACAGGCATTGGTTCTGTGTGAGTGTTTCCTATGCGAACATCTAAAATCCTTTTCGAGATGAACTTTGAAAAGGGGACGACTGTGTCAAAGTAAATGTGCTTCAAAGTGAGATCTCTGATCCTCTCCTGGCCACAGCCAGTCCACCTGAACCGATCGATTCTCCTCTCACCCCACACGCTTTCCTCCACATTGTTCCCCAAAGTAATAGAGATTGCAAGTATTTCTTGGCCTGGCTCTTAGTGGGTGCCCAATAATTGGCTCTTGAAATAAAAGAATAATGTTCTGCTTAGGCAGAATAGGCCTAGATGTAGGTTTACCTGATACCAGCTGCAAAGAAGGACATAGCCTCATTGTCCTTACGGTGTCGTGTTACCTTTTCATTTATCGATTATTGAATAGTTAACTAGTCCTATATATATATTTTTTTTTTGAGATGGAGTCTTGTAGACCAGGCTGGAGTACAGTGGCGTGACAATCTCTGTCTCCTAGGTTCAAGCGATTCTCCTGCCTCACCCTCCTGAGTAGCTGAGACTACAGGTGCACACCACCATGCCTGGCTAATTTTTGTATTTTTAGTAGAGACAGGGTTTCACTATGTTGGCCAGGCTGGT